TTTCCCCCTCTGCTCCCTGTGCTGCGCAGGGGCATTCCATTCCCGTGGCTTGAGCTGCCCCTTCCCCTCCAATCCTATCCTCATCCGCAAAGACCACACGCACAAGCGTCTGCTGGGTGTCTTTAATAAAGCGGAGCTCACTGGGAAGGAGCCCTGGCATCAAAAGTCAAAGAGGATACGCACCACATCTATAAGAAAAGGAGAAGAAGCCAAGTAAGTTGGCGCCTGCGCTTGCAGTTGCCCAAGGCTGGAAGGTTCTTTGCAGGAACTGCCCACTTAGGTTGTGTCCCCATCCGCACCCATGCTTGTAGAGGTCTCACCTCGAGCAGGGGCACTCCAGTCTCACTGCCACCATGCCCCCACCCTCCCAAACAACAACCAAGACTTCCCGCAGAAGATGTCCTCCACGTGTGACCCAGGCAGGCACCCTCCCCGCCCGCCTCCAGGTCTGCTTCCTAGTCCTCTGCCGCCCCCACCTGGCTGGCTCATGCACTGCTGGATAAGCCCCAGCCTGGCGGCGTCAAAGGTGTGGGCCTCCTCCTCGAAGCGGCGGCGGCCCTCCTCCGTCAGCCTCCAGAGGCAGGACCGGGACCGGGCACTGGCCTCGCGCTGCCTGCTGCTTGGCACCTTTTCAAAGCTGTCACGAAAGCAGAGGTTGTGACGGACGGTATTCTTCCAGCCTTCCGGAGCTGTCCGGAAAAAGGGGAAATGCTGTCTGGGGAGAGGGAGGAAAGGGAAGGAAAAGCACAGGTCCTTTGGGGAATATCCCAATCTCAAGGACGTTCTCGAGCTGCAGGAGCCTCGGCCCTTCTTTCTCCCATGGTGGCCTGGTGGGCAGAGGGTGCTGGTCCCTCTCGTGAGCCCACTCCCGGCCCCGTCTGTTCCCAGGCTTGATTTCCTTTCTCCCCGAGAGCTCAGGGCATTGCCAACAGCCCGACCAGAGCAGATGGAGCCTGTTGGAGGGGTCCAGCTCCTTCTCCCATTCAGAGAGGGTAGAGAGAACACATCTTTTCCCTCACGGCACAGGACAAAGAGTCTCTCCCTGGGTGCCCTGGCCCCAGAGATGCAGGGAGCTGTGGCAGGCAGCACCAACAGGCCTCTGGCAAGAACAAGGGAAACTGTTAGCTGGCCCAAGTGATTTTTGTGCTTTTAAAGGAGAACTAAGATAATGAAAGGAAAATAATCATCTATAACTTATCCAGGGTTCCTGAGGGAGGGAGGGGGAAGAAATGGGGAGCTGATACCAGGGGCTCCCAGTGGGAAGAGAATGCTTTGAAAATGATGATGGTGACATATTGCAAATGTGCTCGACACATTGGAGGAATGCATGGATTGTGATAAGAGAGGTAAGAGCCCCCAATAAAAGTATTTAATTAAAAGAGAAAAAATGATGATGGCAACAAATGTACAAATGTGCTTGACACAATGTATATATGTGTGTATTGTGATAAAAACTGGATGAGCTCCCAATAAAATGATTTATTTTTTAAAAAATGATACTGAAAGGTTGGCTTTCTGTTTTTAAGCTATGAAAGGTGGTGAGGGTGGCCATCTTCCTGTCTGTGTGGGCACACATTTAGGGGGCACTTAGATCCAGTGCCTGGAGAAGGAGACCCAGATGGGGAAACTGAGGCAGCAGCCCAGGGCTTGGGTGCAGGTTGGAAGGCCCAGGACTCAGACCCCTGGCCCGTTCCCCGTCCCCACGGGGCCCCTGGCACATACCGAGCAAAATTGTAGATCTGCTGCACGTTGAGGCCACAGTGGGGGCTGGTTCTTAAGGCCAGGGCGATGAGGTGGAAGTAATTGAGTGGGGGCCGGGGCCAGAGCCGCCCCTCCTGGCCTTTGGTGTGAAGCCTCCAAGCCTGGAGGGGGGCCCTGGTGTGAGGGGGCAGGAGGGCCACAGAGGAGCTGTCATCCTGGTCCTCGGCCTCCTCTTCTGGGAGCTGGAGGGGCACAGAGTAGGACTGGTCCTGACTCCTCACCTCTACTCCGAGGCACCAGGGGCAGCAGGGGAAGTGGACAGGGACCACCATCAGAGCTTCCCCTGGCCCAGGGGACAGGTGGCTTCTCACCCCACGAGAACCTGTGTTCTCCCTAGGAAAACAGCTCAGAGCATCCTTAGGCCCACCCTGCCTACAGCACATGGCTGGCCGACGTCCCCAGAATCCATACCTCCTGGGTGCGGAGGGAAGAGGCCACTCGTTTCCTCGGGGGAGACTGCTCGCTGGAGGAAGGTGACAGGGACTGCCCCCCTGCAGCCTCTGAGCAGTTGGGTCTGTCCCCCTTTGGGAGCGGCAAAGGGCAGAGTGCCAGGTTCCCCCTCTTACTGGGCTCTGGGACCTCCAACTCTCCAGGGGGGTACACAATGTTGGGGTTCACCCACATCCAAAGGTTGGGCTCAAAATTAGGTCCTGTGAAGAGAATGAGGGCGTTCTGTATGATAGCTCATGGGTTTGGGGCATCCCTGATACCTGGCTCAGACTACAGACTCATTGGAAGACTCACTCCCACTACTCACCATCTCCATCTGCATTGGGTTTTATGGGCAAAGGTAACACCGGGGGCTCAACTATCTGCAGTCTGTACCTGACAACTGGTGAAAAGAAAGAGAAGATTAAAGTACCCTAGCATTTCCCTTGGGACCCTGTGGGATCATAAAGAGACTTTTCCCAGCCTTCTCTCCCCCAAAGAAATGCCAAACATTAGGGGCATTTTGCTAGCATATGGGGGGAGGCCAGATGCTTAAAGACATCCTCCCTGAAGGTTTTCAATTGCCAGAGAGGTAGGCCACTGCTCCCTGCTCTAAAGGCTCCCATTAACTTGGTTCCTGTAAGTGGGGTTTACACCCTACTGATAATGGTTTCTACGGAGAACAGATCAAACTGGCTCAGTAACATCCAAAGTTAGGCTGCCATCCTGGATCTAGGATCCACCCTTCTTGTCACATGTATACCCCCAATTCCTCCTCTTCCTATTGGGTGTATATCCCTAGATTGTCCACCTCTCATTGCTGTATTACCTATATATACTACAACCCCTTCCTGTGACGTATATCTTTACCTGTAATTGGTGGGCTTGCACTCCCCTCCCCACAAAGGGATATAGGCCTGGGTTAGCAATAAAGAGCCCTCTCCCAGCTCCTCCCTTGGCCTCTCGTTAAGTTCCCCCTCTCCTCTCCCATCCTCTCTCCCCTGTTCCCTTTCCCCTTGTCCTCCTTCCCCTCCCTCCCTCTCCACGTGAACCACCAAGTGAGGCTGAGGTGAGCATTCCTACCATGAAATGTGGCTGACTCCATTATTTCAATCTCCCTTCTATCTCTCATGCTATGACTTTACTATAATCTTTACTTATTATCGCTGTACAATTGCGCCTACCAGACCCATGATGATGTGCTAGGGGCTGGATTTCCCTTGCAGGACCCCAGGTCCTGGTCCTTGACCTCTCTCTGGAAGAGGGAGGTGGGCTCTGTCTAGGGAGTTAAGGCACCATAATCTATGGTTTCCCCCTTTCCTCTCCGGCTTTGGCCGTTTCTAGCTCCTCCCTAAAAATCTGCCTAGTGCATCCACTCATCTCCATCCATATGTGATATCCCTGAACGATCTGATATCATCCGCTCGACACTCCAACTTGCACTCAGGATATCTGCGAGCTTGTTGGGATCGAACTGTGCTCCGTAGGGTTTCCAACGGCGGTTTGTGTGGAAGAAGATCATCAGGCCTTGCTTTAGAAGTACCGTGGGTGTCCTCAAACCTCCAACGTTTCCATTAGCAGCAGAGTGCATTAACCGTTTGCACCACCCAGAGACCCCTAACAAAAAGAGCAGTCTGAGTATCAGGTGTTCACGGCTCTTACTCTTTAGAAGCAGTTCACCAAGCTTTTCTTCTGAGGGATTTCTCCGTGGCTTTGAACCAGCAACTTTCTGGTTACTAGCCGACCACTTCAGTTTGCACTTTCCAGAGACTCCTCCTCCTAAAGACTCAGGGCTCCAAAATCCTTGCCTTTGGCCCAGACTGCTCTGCTTGCCCTAACAGAGCTGCCCACTGGCTGCCTTTACTCGGCTATCCCCGCAGGTACCTCAAATGCAACCTTTTTAAAAACTGCATTCCACATTCCTTCCCAAACCTGATACTCTCGCTGTATTCCTTGTCCCAGCAAATGACACCACTATCCAAATGGTTGTTCAGGCCAGAAGCCTAGAAATCAATTTTTTAAAGAATAAATCATTTTATTGGAGGCTCTTACAGCCCTTATCACAATCCATACATCAAATCCATCAAGCACATTTGTACATATGTTGCCATCATCCTTTTCAAAACATTTTCTTTCTTGCTCTTGCTCTTCTGTTTTCCGTGCAGCCACACCGAATCAACCACAAATCCTGCATCCCAGTCTGAGACATACTTTTCACACCGTCTCCGTTCCTTTCTTTTTGCCCATCACCTTGCCGTCTGAGCCATCTTAAGCTGTTAACTCACTGTGTCACCCTACAATCCCAAGGGGTTCCAGTGCTCTTGGACCACAAGGCCTGGCTGCTCCTCATGCCGAGTCATCCCTCCCTGGCTCCCAGCCCTTCTCCAGCAGACAGCCCTGGAGGCTGGGCCTTCCCACAACCCTTTCCTTCCAGAAACACTCTCGGCTTCCTACTTGTCCGATTCATTGCTACTAACAGGTCTCTATTGAAACATCTCTTTTGAAGTTCGCACTCTCTAGCCACTGGCCAAAGGCTCCCAGAGCATACGTGTCATGGCAGTTACTTTTCAGGGTCTGTTGTCAGTCTATCCCGTTCATTGCCGCGTCCTCAGCCCCTGGTACGCGGAGGTACTCAGCCCCTGATGAATGTGTGCATGGTGGTTCAAAGGAAGAGTG